AACCTCCTCTATCCATTCATAAAGGCGGTTCCTGTTGCTTATGGGTGCTTTCAATCTGCATCATCAAAATAATCCCGAACTATGCACGGAATCTCAGAACATCAAAGGAAGTCTGAAGCCAATGCTGTGCGCTCGAATTTGTGCTTCCCTAAAGCGGGAAAGCCTATCGGGAACTTCAACATCTCTGAGTATTAATAGCGGGGCCAGAGTACGAACACACCTACTCGCAGATAGTCGATGGAGAAACATGAATACAAACTATTCGCGGTCTCAAAGAACGAAACGCAGGATAGCAAGGCGTAATGTTGTAGCGACCTTAAACGAAACAAAACGAAAGAAAAGAGTCGGTGTTTCACAGAATACATTGGAAGCGCTCGAAGGTCATGAATGTGGTCAGCCTCGAGCATCGAGCTAATGCAGTTCGGGATTCTCGATCAAGACAACCAAATTATGACGGTGCCTGCGGACGAAATCCACGGATCATTCATTTGAGCTCAAATCAGAACAAGACTGGACTGGCATATTGTATATCTCGTATCTCAACGAAGAGGCACACTCGGGTCGACAATAGCCACCATATAGCAAACATAAGAATCCTTTTCTATAGTCCTCAAACTGTAAAGAGTGTAACGCTAGATGTAAACTAAGTGTGGAATTCGTGGCGTTACCCGCTTCCCAGAGCTTTATGAAGGACTAATGAGACAACCACCCAATTGCCACGCACATAAACAAGGCAGAATCCTCTGTATTTGGAATATCCTGCAGATAAACAGGAGGAATATCCTTGCACTCTACAGCTAGTAGATCTGATTGTTCATTGATGTCGTGTTGCTCCTACGGCTCATACAGAACACCCATCATACCTCCGTCGAGATAACTTACTGACTAGGATGCCAAAATATCTGGTTCAAGATTGTGACTTTCAAGGTTTCGTAGTTGAATAAGTAATTGAGTCACTCAGGAAGACAGCAGCCGGCGACTTCATGCCGCGACTCCGCAGCTGTCACGTCCTTCTAGAGTTAGCAGCTGAAACGGTACCTCGAGTGCATAAATAAGTGGAATGTTGGAGAGGAAGTAGCTCATTCAGATCATTAGAACTTAGGTGAGAAAAAACAAACCTTGGTACTCTCAGTTCAATGGCAGGGGCGATGCGGTTAAATTAGGTTAATAACGCAAACTTTCAAAATTTCCTAAATAATATTAGCAGGTTAATTGGATCTACCAGTTGTCCTACGAGCCCGATTGCTCAGGCCATTATGATAATATTAGTATGACATATCCTGTCCCCGCCAGGGGCGTAGGACAACAAGTGTACTTACATGGTATCGTTCCCTGAGAAGATAAGACAAACGAGAGATATTTTCAGCATATATCTGCGATGAAACAGTCCGATCAAACATGGATGTGCGGGACAGTGCATGTCTTCCTACCGCCGGCAGCTATTTGGAATCATGTCAAAGACCACCAACACCATTACATCCCGGGGCCAAGAACTCTTGGAAACTCATGACTAGGTTTCACTTCAGAAAGAGAAAATATCTCGTAGATTTGAGATTGTAACTTGCGACACAGAAGCTTGGCGGACAGGTCCGTCTCTTCCGAGTCGTTTATGTCGCTTGACGAGACTATATGCAATCTTAAGAGCTGTTGGACACACTCGAAAGACTTGTATGTATCTTTTATTAGTGAAATGTGGATCACAATCAGATGTCCACGGTTCTATCTCCTGTTCGTTTCAAACTTCCATTATTTGCCGCTGTGAAGTTGTTCTAACCAGCCCTCTACAAATGAACAAGACGGATACGCAAACGATACCCATCTGACTAGGGACCTCGGTTCTTTTTAAAAATACCATCTAAGTCCATGCGCGCTGGTCAAAAGCTAAGAGTTCATTGAAAATACTACTCCATTCTACACTGCTTGGGGATCTTGTCCCGTCGTTCATTTCTGGTAAACCGTTTGATAGGAGGCTTGTTTATCTCAGTATGCATAGTTCTGCTGCGCCCGACATTGCTGTTCTTCTTCAAGGCAACTCTAGCCACTCTCGGCTCGTGAGGGATATTCTGTTCTCACGCGTTCAGAGGTCTGCTTCCTTAAAAGGGCGGAGAATTTATCACGTTACGTTTCAGGAGCAACATGACAGCCCTTTCCTTTGCAGTAATCCCCCTTACACTTATAGTCCTCTGGGCGTTGAACCGCATTCATCACGTGTATTTCACGGTTCGTTCCCTCTCCTTTTCAAAATCACCCCACGTATTCTCATTGTATTTTGTACTAGCTAACCGATTTTCCAACTATTGGACCTTCGGGATTTTTCGGTTCATTCCGCGCAATTAAGATATGGCTCACTGAGCCCGACAGATTGCTCGAAGAAGGTTACCGGAAGGTAAGTTGCACATGCTTCTGGTATAGTTCGGACGAGGTTACTAACTCATTTGCGCGTAGTATCCAAACATGCTCTTCAAGATTTACACACAAGATGGATGGACTCTCTTTACTTCTGGTGATGCCAGGCTTGCTGAAATGCGCGCGGCTCCAGACCGTGATCTCTCCTTTGTCGAGCACATAAACGATGTGAGAAGAATGCTTGCAATCTTCCGCAACTTGTTCCTCAAAACTCTTCTGCAGGCTTTCCAACTGGAGGTCACAATGGGACCAGGAGTAGCTCGGGACATGTTCGGTCGACATTCAGCAAATGTTATGGTAGGTCACATCCAGTTTACCTAGGCTGAAGCACACTAATCACTACGTCAAATCTATAGAATACTGTGACTCGCAATTTACCATTATACTTTGATGAAGGTTTGACCTCCAAATTCAGTCTTTGATTGTGCACTCAGTCTCCGCTAGTGAGAGAAGAAACCAATCAAGCGTGCATGGATAATATACCATCAGAGCATGGTAAGTTATAAATCTGTTTAATTTGGTTACGTTGACTTGAGGGAATAGATTGGGTGGCGGTTCCTGTCCTTGCGGCGACTGGAAAGATTGTGAGCCGTGGAGCAAATCGAATGTTCCTTGGAAAAGATTTGGGTATGTTGCTCCCAAGTTTACTGCACTTAAAGATTTATACGATGTTACCTTCAGGACGCAACATCGAATTCACAGATCTTATGGTTGCCTTCACTCGAGAAGCCATTGTCACAGGTATACTTCTCCGAACCTTGCCAGAGTTTATTCGTCCGTAAGTAAAAACATTGCGTGTGTTTGTCCCTATTTCGATCATATCTTCAGAGTGGTAGCAAAACTAGTGACGCGCACTGAGTATTATTATAAGCGAGCTCGACCACATCTTGAATCGATGTTAGCTTATCGCCTTGAACAAGAGCACAAGCATGGACGTGAGTGGGAAGGTAAACCAGTGAGTTGGCAGTCTTTCTTGTACTTCGCTTCTGCTCACCCGCAGCGCTAGAACGATTACATCTCGTGGTTGTGTGCCACCAAGTGTCAAACATCAACAGTTCGTGACCTTGCTTTACGTGAGTCCCCCATGGAACACCCACACCCCTGGTACCAACGAAAATCTATAGGCGTTCTTGGAATAAACCTTCCTGCAATACAAACAACCTCGAATGTAAGTTTTTATACCTGTTGCGATAATTTTCCACATATATTTTACTTTGCTCTAGTCCTTGGGTCATTCGATTTTCGACCTCGCCCAAAACCCACAATACGTGGAGATCCTTCGCGAAGAGATTGAAAGTATCGTTGCTGAGGATGGCTGGTCAAAGGAGTCACTTCAGAAGATGGTTAAGTTGGACAGCTTCGCTAAAGAAAGTCAAAGGCTCTGGGGCATTGCACCAGGTATGTTAACTCGTGGTTTCCCTATGAATTATTGGCTAATGATGACTTCAATCATTTAGCATCCTCTGGGCGTCGCACATTAAAGCCATTTACATTTTCGAACGGCCAGACTGTTCCTGCTGGACATGACATTTTGGGTAAGCATTCACACTTTTTGATATCTTCCGCTCTTAGACACATGCATTAACTCTTTATCCCTCAAGTAACAAGTCAAGCTATCCACTTGGATGACGCACACTATCCCTCCGCACGTGAGTTCCGACCATTCAGGTTCGTCGAACTCAGGTCGCAAGAGGAAGAGAAGAGTGTCCTGTATGATTTCGTCACTCCGAGTAAGACATTTGCCGCCTTCGGCGTTCCAAGTAGGCATACATGTGTCAGTTTGCTTTTACTTCATGTTTTTGGCTTTCACTAAAGCGCTCTTCGTTAGCCTGGTCGGTTCTTAGCTGCCATGTTGATCAAGCAAGCCTTGGCGTACTTGGTCTTGAATTACGATATGAAGCTGGAGAGTGACGAAAGGCCTAAGAATTTAATGCTTGGATCGGTCATGGGCCCACATCCTTGGGCTTCTGTGCTGTTCAGGAAGCGGCAAACGTAAGTGTGACGGCAAGGTTCCTTTGGTGTGTCTTCATGGACATTGATTTAAGTACTCTTTATCTATCAAATTAAATTTGCAAGTTCAACGAGCTGCTCTGTATCATTTCAGAGCCCATTTCTCTGTCGAATAGAATGAGTAAAGCTTGGGATCTTGGACAACAAAGTTGTGCCACCATGTGAATCTCTAGTTCAACCCAACCCTTGTCTCACCGCAATCCAGTTGCTCTCCAACTGTTTCCCAACTCTCCTACCCTAAGGATAGAGAGCCCATATATAGAGGTAATTCTAACATTTGTTTGCCATAGCCAGTTTTGGCTTTAGTACCTCACAGTACTGAGCCATGATGGCGTTGCTCGCTAACAAGTATTTCAAGACATTTCTTGGAGGATACATTCACGAGGAGTAACCTCCAGGTAAGTAGCTGGCCAAAGCGCTCACATTTTAGACAGTAGGGTGAAATGTCGAGGATTTTTCTACGCCTCCAACTCAAAACGTCGCACCAGAAAAGCGAAACGGGAGCGTTTTAATAATGTACTGGTGAAGTTGGTACCTTGAGTGCTGCTTGCGATATTATAGGTCTTTCCCCGTGACAATCCAAAGGGCACATGGTGTAGTTGGTTATCACGCTCGCTTAGCATTGACTACCGATTTGATTTGCGAGAGGTGTTGGGTTCAATTCCCAATGTGTCCATTTTGTGATTAGATGAATGACCTTTTTCGGTCAGCTGTTCAACACGGTAAGTAACATTTTGGAATGATCTAGTTTTGAATGGGATATGAGGGAGGATTAATTGCGACCACAAAACTGGTCGTACAATCGAGCCAACAAAAAATCTTCTCTCAAACTGTTATGAATGTATTATCCCAATCATCTCTGGCCCAAAAAATCTTCATGAAGCTCGTCTTGAGCTTATTGAGAACTGGAAACGAGGAAACGAGGGAACGAAGGAACGAGTCCGTCAAATCACGAGCGGATCATTGCCCTGAGCTTTCTCATGATATCTTTGGAAACGCGATATAAATCCTCGCCGCTGGTATAAAATGTCCATTATTCATACTACTCAACCATCTATCCCTTTGCTCCATAATGAGCTTCAGTGCTCTCTTTCTTACTATCAAAAATCACCCAGGATTCAGGGATGAAGCAAGTCCCCCAAAATCTCATTGGAATCTCAAGGATATCCCCGACTTGACTGGGAAAGTGTTCATTGTTACTGGTGCCAATACTGGTTCGTCCCGGGGCCTAAGACCTTCTAAGATTCATATCTGATAGGATTTCTTTAGGAATCGGCTATGAAACGGCCAAGAATCTCCTCAAGAATAATGCGAAAGTGTATGCTGCGGTGCGAAGTCTCACAAAAGGTCAAGAGGCGGTCAAACGCATGAAAGAAGAAACTGGAAAAGATGCAATCTTGCTTCAGCTCGACTTGGGCGACTTGAACTCTGTTAAACGAGCTGCGGAAGAGTTCACGAGGTATGATAACCAGTACTTTATCGCTTGTTGAGGGCTGACCCTAAGGCATATCAGTAAGGAATTTCAGCTCCACGTTCTCATGAACAATGCGTGCGTTTGTTCTTAGGCTTTGAGCCTCCTTCCTTCAACTGATCTCAGCCATTAGTGGTGTCATGTGTCCCCCTAAGGATCAGTTTACTACTCAAGGATGGGACGTTCAATTTGGAACGAATGTTATTGGCCATTTCCTACTCACAAAATTGTTGATTCCTACACTCCTCACTACCGCACATTCTTCACCCCCTGGTACAGTACGCGTCGTGAACACCAGCTCTAGTGCTCAGTATTGGTATCATACTATTCCTTTTGATGCGCTTAAGGACAGTAAGGCACGAAATAAACTGTGCCCGGAGCAGCTTTACGGTGTTTCGAAGAGGGTGGGTAGTACTTTTTTCTCATTAAGCTTAGTCTATAGGATCTCATGATACAGTCGACAGGGAAACATCATCTTTTCAAATGAACTTGCTCGGCGGTACAGAGATGATGGTATCGTCTCTACCTCTCTCAACCCTGGGGGAATCGATACCGAGCTACAGCGACATATGGCGCCATTCGCCGTGCGAACTTTCGTTCGTCCTTTTCTTTCCCTTTTCAAAATTACCTCCATTGACATTCACACGCTAATTAGAACAAATATATCCTTCATCCACCCACTCTCGGTGCGACTACGCAACTGTGGGCAGCTACCAGTGATGAAGGGAAGGATTTGAATGGGAAGGTTGGAATTTTTCTTTATTTGAAGCTTCTTATTGATTTTGACGATCCTCATTAGTTTCTAAAGCCTTGGGCTCGGGTTGGAAAAGCGGCACCAGGGTGTGAAGATCTTGAGATTGGCACCCGCTTGTGGGATGTCCTAGAAGATGCGGTGAAGGAGTATGTGCAATAGAGAGCACCAGTTTTTTTATCATCAAAATCCTCTCCTTCTTTTGTAGTGTTATTCCAAGAACCCAATCGTCCAGATTTTGCGGGCGGAATCCCTAGTAAAACCATCAGATATTGCTTCCAATCGAACTTTTCTACTTGATAAAAAAAGCTTTTCCCAAATCTCCGGACTACGTCAGGGGCATGTAATATGCGGCTCGCTAATGCTTACCGCTCAGAGAAGTTGTGCGGCTTTGATGTTTATCATTGAAATGATCAGTTCTCTAAAAGTGATATGACAAGGTGATGCTACTTCCTGCATATTTTTCTGCTCAACGCCTATCCTACCTTTCCCCAGTATACAAACTATAATATAGATGCTCGACAACCCCGGACCACTCTGACCAATCAATATTGTCAATCACGAGATTCTCGAGGTTGGGAAAGTGATGTGCCAAATATCGAGCTACCTCTTCCTCCTCCACATCCCTGCCAATAGGACAATCCTGAAGGACATACAATGACCGAAGGGACATAGATATCACAGAATCGTGTGAAGAAGGTGAGTACGGTACCCACAACGCGGAGAAAGCAACGTTCACACGCGTAAGGTGGGGGTGCGTCGCAACCAGTCTTGTCAAGCCTTCCAAGGTTAACCAACCAGTCCCATGAGAGAATGGGAATGGCTCGTTGTTCATTCCAAGCTCGGTGCTCCCGAGCGCCAAGGAGGTCACATAGGGCCATGCATCTTTGAGTTCGTTGAGGTCTTCGTCTTCGAAGCTACACACATAGCTTGTCCGCAAATCAATTGTTTCTAAATAATATAGCCCGAGGAGGGGACGAAAGATAGTAAGCGGTGGGTCTCGATTGCTGGGCAATGGGTAGTGTTCGATGAAGATAGACTTCAGAGTATGATAATGCGCTACAGGCTCCAGAACAGATTGGAGAGGCGTTGGGTCCATGTCGGGACGGTCGGGCGAACCCACCATGAAGGTAAGAGAGAGAGAGGTGAGGGGAGAATGACCAAAGGATGTAAGGAGATCAATGAGATTTGACGAGGAGGGAAGGTTCAAAGATACTTTCTCGAGGAGAGGGAAGGATTTGGAGTGGGGGGGCGTGAAATTTGGAAGGCGCCGGCCATCTCCAAGTTGTCCACTCGAATTCGCCCGTCAATTCAAAGCTCCGAAGTCGCAGAAAGGACGGATGCGCTGAAGGAAAGAGCAGCGAAGACCCATAGACCAGATACCTGATTGACAGGTGGGTCAAGTTTGGGAGTACGGCAAGGGCTAGAAGAAGATCGGGGCCAATAGGGGTCTTGGGGATGTGTAGGTCAACGTATGAAAGCTCTCTCCATGCCGCCAATGCAGCAACAACACACGTATAGTGCATGGAATTGAAGCTTCCAACATTTGGGCCATCGTTGTGGGACTGAAGCTCAAACCGCCTTATACCTGAACATTCTCTTCGCGCTCGAATGAGAGTATCTTCCATTTTCCACTTGGAAAGAATTGTGAGGGTTTTGACTTTGGGACCGAGGAAGAGTCGGGCCGTACCAGCCATACAACTGGGCTCAATATTGAGTGAGCGGACATTCAAGAACAGACACCCGGTAAGTAGGTAAGTGTCAAGGCCCTCGGTCCGGAAAGCCCAGGGTAGCTCGAACTTGCAGACTCTTGTCGAGATGTGTTGAATGCGCCTCGTTCGATGAAAAATCCTAGTGAGATCTGCTTCTTCAATAGGCCTTAGCATGACCTAAGCAAAAGTCAGTGCAGCTCCATCCACAAAAAAGAGATCACAGTGACCAGTTGATTGCCAATTACGGGGTCTCCGATGATATCTGGAGGCAAAAACCGAAGAGCGTGCGCAATGGGCACTTCACTCTCAGCGTAAAGCGTTTCTAGGGCAATACACTTCCACCAATTACAAGTTAGAGCGAGGCGGAAAAGAGAAACACTGTCCCCACTCAACGCAAAGGAAATTAGGGAACACAATTCGGCAACATGAAGCACTTGATCCATCGTAAAACCCAAAGAACACCAAACGAGTTCCAGAGACCTTGAAAGGACTTGAGGTGGTAATATGTAGAGGTCCGGGACAGTGGTGATGAGGATGGTCAGAGGCAAGTTACTCTCTGGTCTCCCGCGACTGGTGACTCACTTGCGCGCTTCCGGCAACAAGTACGAGAACTTTCGTTCAATCCTTCGGGCACAAGTGGGGAGCGGAAAGAAGAAAAATAATTTGAATAAAAAGGAAGTGATTCAAGTATATCAGTCTGATTTTTGGCCGAGCTTCTCTGCTTCCCCATTACAAAATGTTGGAATTTCTGTCAAATTTACTCCTCAGCAACGACAACTACAGCCTTTCCGACATTCAGTCCCTTCTGAACAGCCAGAATGACGTCTCCAACTTTCTCCAGCCCACTTGTAATATCTTCCTTCGTTTTAATCTCTCCCTTTGCCACCTTATCTGGCATGACTCTCCAGAACTCGGCATCCCATTTGTGAGTGAGATCGCGGAAGATGATGAATCCGTAAAGAGTAATACCCTTGGATACAATCTGCATGAGATTCTTTACGTGGTAAGGCGTTGTATTGTACTCTTCCATCATACCACATTCCTAATTAAGAAGGTTAGTATGGGACGGGTATTTCATGGAGCTTCAAAACAACTGACAATAAAACGTGCCCCAATATGTGCAGCCTCCAGGGAAGCTTCTAGCTGAGACCCACCGACATTATCCCAAAACACGTCGATCCCACCTTCTCTCTGCAATACCTCCAGAGTGTTCTCCGTTTTATAATTGAAAGCCACCTCCGCTCCAATTTCTTTCAAAAAAATAACTTTCTCCTCCGAACCAGCTGACCCAATTACCTTCAGCCCCTGGGCTTTAGCGAGCTGGACGACGATGGCACCAACGGCACCGGCAGCGGATGTGACATAGACAGTTTCACCGGCTTTAGCACGCGAGAATTCTTTCCATGCATGGTATGCGGTTTTACCTGGTCCACCTAAGATACCAAGGAACCATGTCCAAGGAAGATTGTGCTCATTATTGATTTTGGTAATGCCTTCTTTGAGGATACTGTAGTGTTGGAGGGCTGGGATTCTCGGTTAAAATGTTTGAAATATGGGGGACGGGTTTGAAGTACTCACGGAGAACTCCAAGGATATGATCTCCTGCTGTGAAGCCATCCATCTCAGATCGTACAATGGTACCAACTCCATATGAGCTAATCCTGTTAGTTGTTTAAGATATGTATTCCCGTGAAGAGAACCAATGTAGAGAACGAACGGTTGGCCAAGTGGGAATGCCGGAA